TACAATGGACACTTTGGATATAGGATATGCCACAGAAATGCAGAATCTTATTCTGCCCCATATCAAACGGTCCTTTTCAGGGCCATTTAAGTGTTCAAAAATAAGATATACCGGTACCTATACAATGCACACTCATTGTTTTCTTATGAATAAAGTTACAGTGGGGATGGGGATGTTTATATTTTGGGTTGTTTCCATGTACCAAAATTACTAAAATTTTACCAACCAAATCTGGTGGAGCACACAAAGAATGTGGTAGTTTAATGGTCATAATTTTTGTCTTGGCTTCCATTATTTTTTAAAGTGATAAATTTATTGCAATTATTCTTCTCAAGGCAGAAACAGTTTTACAAAACAATACAAGTTTAAAAAGAACATACATTTGAAAGCAAATAAATTAATCAGTATAACAATAAATATCGATGAAAACGTTCTTCAATAATCAGGCAGCTTTGTCTTGCAACATTTACCATTGATGGCCTCTTGTAAGTTCAATTAGAGTTGTCAGTTGTTTTGGGAATTGCAGCATGTTGATGATTTTTCTGATGTTTCAAAGTAGAACCACATTTTGTTGGGCCACCAGTCGGATTTGAATTTGCCTGTTTGGTGAATAGCACATCCATAATTTTCAGTACCAGTGACCACACATGTATTATAGTCTTCTTTCTTCATTGTCACACAACTGTCTGCTTTTCCAAAGGTGAGAGGTCATGGTGTTGGTAAAGTTGACTGATGTCATAGTTGGCTGTGATCATGTTGTTCCAGTGATGGTACTGTTGACGTTTGATGCTTGCTGCTGCTGATGTGACAGTAATGGAGATGTCTGTTGTAATGTTGCCTGGTTCAGTATTTGGTAGTCGCGTCGCACTGAAAGTCGTCTTCTTAATATTGAGTACTTCTGCTTTTATGTCTTCTAGAAATACTAGTTGTAAAAAATATCCATTTTATCCAATTATTTAGGCGTTACTGATGGCACTTAACTTGTACTTTTAAGCGTGAAGCTGCCAACCCTGTGTGGCCAGGTACACTTTTAGATCGTCCTAAAAAACAACAACACAGTCACTGTGGCAACAATTTGTTGATAATAAATAATAATGGTGATAATATAAATGTATCCACACAGACTAGGTTCAAATCCAACACCACAACAAGGTTAAATCCTATTTTACGTACATGAATTTTATTTGGGCTACAATCGTTACATGTGTTAGTGTCATACAAAATATCAAAACAGATTTTTGAATGTGCCAAGCCAGAGTTATAATTGATGGAATGTAAATACAGGTCAGCTCAGCCAAGGCAGTCAAGACATTTCATGTACTTATCTTCAGATACAGGCAATGAGTTGTGATGTGATATTTAATGTTTTTAAAAAAAATTCCAACAATCATTTATATTATTTAATTTTGATAATGTTTAACTTTCTGTCAGCTGTGAATATACAAAGACAACTTTACTCTTCATATCAGGGCACGGCCAATAGAAAGTGGTCAACAGGTTGGAATATTGTTTTGCACATCATGCCATTAACACAATTAATCCAGTCTTTTTCAAGCTATTTTCAGTTCCTACAATCAGTGTTTCCACACTCTTCAAATGTTTTCACAATATCATCACACAAACAATCATAAATATGGGGATTAAAACACACAAACACATTCAACACACACGCAAAGACATGTTTTTTTATTCATTTATGTATCAATGTTCTTTGACGGTTGTCTGACTTTCTTTCCCTGTGAGAGTTACTGAGAAATTGTAAAGTCATTAAAACATTGTGACCTCAAGTTGGCTGTTATAGAACCCAACACACGTCTTTTGCACATTATTCACTTTGGGTAAACTATTTTCTTATCAAATGATTATAACATCACTGAATTATTTTTGGTATGCAAAATGCCTAATTAATTTATACATAACTCGTGATTACCAGCACTGTGCCAATCAGTTTCCGGGGCTTCAATTAGTCCACTTATTCCCTTCCAAAGCTCTGTATACTTTACTTATCGCTTCAGCCACTTCTTTCTTTCCTCTGTTTCTAGCAGAGTTAGGCAGAAACAACTTATCACTTTAGCACTTGGAAAGTCATGCTTATTACATATGTAATAACTTCTAACTCTCCACTAGCCACTCATCGTCCCCATTACAATGCTGAGTTACCCACCACAGATGATTGGTCATCTTTATCCAGGGGGATATTTCATCACATCCTTTTTTCTTGGCGGCAATGTTAAAATAGCTCCTCTGTAATCGAAGATGACCAAGCTGAGCTCAAGGGTTGGACACATCTGTCGTCATCTGTCCGTTGTACATGTATGTCGCCTGTCAACTTTTTTCATTCAAACGACTTCTTCTCCCAAACCGTCAGCTGGATTGCCTTGCTATTCATACCACACCTACCTGGGACAGTCCTCTGTCAGATTTTTTCATTTTATGACATCACATGTAAATGTTTTTGTCATTTTTTGGTTAAAAGTGATTTTTTTTCCTCTATCATTTGTCAGATTGCTTTGTAATTTGGCATGAATTTGTTGACATGAATTAGACTCATAATAATAATTTTCATGGTGCCATACGCATGTGTCAAGTGTCTTCTCCTAAACCGCCTGCCACATTGTTTTGAAATTCATTGTAGACACATGGACTGGTCCTCTCTTAAGTTTCTTCATTTAGTGATTTTTTTTGGATTTTTTCACTTTCCCATACATTATATGGGCTATGTTTAATGCATGGACTCCAGTAGACGACTTTATCAGTTGGAAGCTAGGCTTTCTCAGTACACATTGTCTTGGAAAATGAACTGGATGGGCCAATGTTTTCCAGAAAGTTAATTATACGTTTGCTGCTTTTATATGGGTGACACTGAACAGTGAGGGGGGGGGGGGGGGTGTGAAACATATCCTTAAAATCTTCAAGGCTGGGTCAGGATCATCTCAAGGTCCCAGGTCAGGGTCATCTCAAGGTCACATGTTGAGTGCATGTGTTTTGGTGGTCAGGTG